CGGTAGCGCTCGCTACAATCTAGTGGATGTAGCGGTAGCGGTAGCGCCCGCTACATTTAGAGCATGTAGCGGTAGCGGTAGCGGCGCTACATTTCAAAGTAGCGCTGCCCAGCTCTGCGTACCATGTAAAAAATCTAATGAGCAAGATATGACGATATCTAACTTTTGATCTTACGTTACATTTTCAACATTATTGAGACTACTATGCTGAGAAAGAAAGTATTGATATTCATCATATGAAATTCACTTTATAATCAAATAAATTAAGCTACCTTCTGCGTTTTGTAGCTCGTAGGTCGACTATATTTTTATGGATAATCTCATGGATAATACACTTACCGGATACCAGGTTTATTAGCAAAAATTAGACTTATAATAAAACCTCTTAAAGCCCATAATTAGGATGCGTTCTGCGCTAAAATTAACCAAGCATGCAGTTCTAGTCTCAGGCTTCGCAAAAACTTGCTCACTCTTGGGGTGGACAGTTGGCAGATCAGGCGCTCGGACACCAGGCCTGGCTGGCCCGACGAAGCCTTGTTCTTTAAAGCAGATCATCCATTTGGCTGCATGGTTTGGCTACCCAGAATATAATTGCGGTTAACGTGTAGCAACTATCACGGTCAACTTAATGGAATGTTGATGAAATCAAAATATACTAAACCACAGATCGTTACAAGCAGCAGAGGTCTCGTTATTAGAGTAATTTTTTGCAAATGTTACTAAATCCCACTGCATTCATATTTTTTTCTTTACAGCCTAAATTTACTAATATATAGAAGTTGAAGCTTAAATATTGTACTTCGAGAACGATTTGTAGAAAAGGTGAAATTATTCGTAATTTGTTGAGAACATTTTGATGGATTCTTCCTCTGAAGCAAACATATAACTGTCGTCGAACAGCGATGCACTGGAAATTGAAATAGAAGATGAATGATTCTCACCTATTTTTATATACTTAAACAACTGTGGCACAGTTTGAGTCATAGGTATCTGCTATAATTGCGCAAATGACAGATGAATATCGTGGAACTAGATAGTATACTTTAGAGACGATATTAAACCAGAGATACTATAATAGCCTGGGTAGGTATTAGTGCCCAATTCACGAGTAAAAATGCATATATAAATTAGAGATGCACTTGCTTAACTCAAGTTCATTCAAATGAAGAAAAGTTGGTTCGTTGACTGCCATTTGCAGCAAATGGAATAATATAATATAATCTACAGGCTTGTCTGATGGCCGTATTATTATCACTCAAGTTTCTTCAATATTTCTGCATTATATATAAACTTGTTGTTATCAAGTCCTGCCCTCTCAAACATTTTATCTGCACCCAAATCCATATTGGGAGTCGGTTACAGGCGATTATCTCAGTATGCTGCAAGAACCAGTCTGCTGCAGGAACTGGTTCCTGTTGCGTAAGGCATTCAGGTTGGGGATTTACAGACGCTGTTGTCAAGGAGGGGCCCCTGGCGCCCGCACAGTAAGGAAAAAATTACACGGAATTCAATTCGTTGATACTACTTTGTAGGGCTCTAAAGAAACCGGAAAGCTTCATGGAAAGTCATGTTGTTAATTGTATTTGGAAGATATGTAATATAAAGAATCTTTTTAAAATGAACCATGTGAGCTACAATCTATTCGAATTATCGGACTATTTTAAAAATTACTTTTTTCGCGGCCAGATATATCCCCGTCTTTTATTTGTTCACCTAAAAGTTGAGTAAATGCTAGCTCAACCGTTGTGGTATATACTGACGAACATTTTATACGCAACATAAAATTAAAGTGCAATCAACACAGAGTGGCCACCATTTTCAATTTAAACAAAGTTTTGATTTCATCTCGTGTATAATTTAGCTAAACAAAGTCTGTAAATCTTTTTAATTCACAGACAGAGATTTGAGCATTCATCTCGCTCGCGCACTCATAAATTAGCAAGTCTACAAGGACACGTCCATCACGTACGCTGTTTATCATCAATACGACGAGCGTGCAACACTTGAGATCCTGGCAAGGACACCGAGTCATTTTACACCCCAGGGCTTGTGAACGCAGAAAAAACAAGTACGCTCTAATTTCTTCATCGCTGAACATTTATGAGCTGTTATTTCTAAAATTATATCACAAATAGCATGGTAACCAATCCGTGTAATTAATTATTAGCTAGTGAGACGACAATCGTTTCACGAAGATGTGATACAGACACCTCATTTCCAAATCTATGTTTGTGAGCTTCCTAAACGTCCTTCCACCCATTACATCTGCAATGTTAATCCATGTTAATGATCCTGCACCGGCCCATCATATCTGCAACTTCAAGACATGTTAATGGTCCTTCCACTTTACATCTTCAACTTCAAGTCAAGTTAATGGTCCTTCCAACCGTCACATCTGCAACATTAATTCATGTTAATGGACCTTCCTCTTTTCACATCTAAAACCTTACATCGTCACAAACATCGTCCGCTAATAAAAGTTGTGTTATATGTAATAAAGAAAATATTACTTTTTTCATTGCAACCTAAGCAGCAAATGAGACTCGCATGAAGCGATCCAAAAAATAATTGGCTCATTAGATTGAGTGCTGCAAGTTTTTCCTTGTCTGCTATCTTAAGTAACCCAAATTATAGTGGAACTCGTCGCGCTATCAGCAGCGAAAAAATACTTCACAATGTTAGCCCCACATCCAGTAAAGGCTGATGTTAGAATTAGCCTAATATTATTAGCCTAATATTATTCGATAGAGAACAGTCCCCAGCATAAATGTATAGCTTGAAGGGACAAATGATCTCGCTTATATTCATGTTTTTTTACGCATTGAAACAATAAAATCAACAAGTCAATAAGTATACAATAAATATCTTAATCTTTAAAATACTCATTAAGCAAAATGAAGTTTCATAGAGAGATGTATTACAATATTATGTAAATATTAAGATATTTTTGCAACAATGAATTTAACTTTATTGTTCACACTTACTTGGGTTTTTATACTTCTTAATCAAGGCCATAATTTAAGAAAAAAATTTCAACGACATTAGCCATAATATTTATAAAAAATACATTATTGTACTTCATTGTGATTGTGCTCAGTGATGAGTATGACGCAATGAGGCAGTGCCAGATGTTGACGTGAAACATAAACAACACATTGAGCCATCATAGATAGTTATGCTGTACTAATAAAAAATACCAACATACCCTCAATTTTTCCTAATAATTTTTTCAAAGTCGCAGCAGTAAATTTTAATTTCGCTCTATATTAACTGAAGTGAAATTTGATGTATTCGCATCCCATAATGACTCAATCAAGTCCTGATTATTCAAGTACCGCATTATTGTAGTGACACAATACTCTTTTATTAATTTTATTTTTATATATTTTCTTATATATCTTTTGGATCTTGCGAGAAATTTTAAGCTGTGTACAAGTTTTCTCTTCAGGGCTCTCTAGAACACGTTTGCCATCCTTGCAGACGTCAATGTTCAGTACGCAAGTTATAGCCTCATATATGAAACTGTTATAGTGCATTCACATATTATTCTGGGTAGTCGGTACTTGTTTCACGTCTCACATACAGTAGAGAGTGATAAATGAATAACTGTAGCATTATTCGATAGGATGCAGTTCCGGGCGTAAATGTGTTTATTTTCTGAGTTATTTTATAAATTTAATATCTTGTATATGAAAGCTTGTTGCTTTTTCAGCAGTTATATTCATTTCTATTTCTCCCGTCGATGTTGAATAGTTGTTATTTCCTGGGTGAAATTTCACTTTTTATGCAGCATCCAGAACTTCAATATTAATAATTCATATCAAAAATTCCCTTCGAAAATAATCTCTGGCAGTACAATACATGGGATGGTACTCGCTATATAGTTAAGTGAGATTTAGCTCCACCCTTTACGAAAAATATTTTAAGATCTTCAATTTCAAAACCTTTGGTCGGTATCCGCAGCATATTCCCATTATCTGGTCATGTAAGCATTATTCTCGCAAACGCGATTCCGAATAGATTAATTCGCCAATTCTAAGTCACAATAGCAATTAAATAATAAAAATCATTCAGACTTATAATATCTTTCCCTTATATTTAAATCAATTCCATCTTCTTATCATCTCGGCTTTCATATTGTCATAAATATTTTCAAAATCTACTTCATGGCCCTGCTTGGGTTAGCAAGCGGTTTTTCTGGAGTTTGATATAAAAAATTTCCAAGCGACACAAAGTTCCACTTGTCGCTACTAAAATTTAATTGGTGCCAGCTGACCTATAATGCACTGCATTATCAGCTCATAACGCAGCTGCATTCTTCAAAAGATCTTCACATAAAGGCTTGAGCCAGAGAACACAGTTTTTAAACAGAGAATTCATTACAGTAGACAAAGGAATAAAGCACACATTTACATCGAACTTTCATAGAGCGCTCACGATTGGTTTGAATGCTTACAAGAACCTTTCGACGATTGGTTACCAATCTAGACAAGCATTTCAGCAAAATCGAAACAGCATCCATCATATAAACCATTCAATTTTCCCGACTAAAAGCATATACTGTAAAGGAAAAGTGTGTGGCATCCAAGCTAGAGTTCACATGTTTTCTACAAATGATAGGTATCACTATTGAGGTAGAACAGTGCATGTAATAATTATTGTGTGAGAATATGGCCTAACTACAGTGTACCTTGTCGTAACTGGACGCTATCAAACCACGCACAATATAAAACCGCAGGCTCGTTGCCTCGACCGCTTTTTACGTTGAAATGCTCACCATTATAGAGCAGCGCCCACAATAGCAGCTGTAGACGTTAATTTTTACCACAAATACCGACAGAAAAATTCGATCGAAAAAAATTTAGAACTGAAAATCAACAGGGTTCAGCATTTTAACAGCTGTTAATGATAAAATTTTGGCTAATTCTTGGGCTGGTGTTAATCTTATTATGTTCCTAATAAATAGGTATGATAATCATTTCTTTTTATAAATTCACAATAATTATCACCTAATCAACCTAGTTTTATTTGAAGACCTTTCGTAATTTTTGATAGAATTAAAAATTCTAGGCAAACTAAATTATCCTTCCGTATATAATCAGGATGACAAATACAAGAAAGTTTCGAGAACAGCGCTTGGCCTTGACTATGACAGTAATCTGACGTGGACAAGCCGATCCCTACCTCTTAATGCTGAAACAGGATCTGAAACTCTGTTGTGAATTCTTGGGCAAGGAGATAAAATCAACAGAAATTATTTTGAGTAATTGCAGAAGTCTCGAATGAATTAAGTACGATAATTTTGGCTCCACATTCAATTGACTCAACTATTTGCATTTATTTATAACTTTTAAAATAGGACAATCGATCAACGTTCATCTGTGGCTCACAATAAAAACAGTGGCTCACATCAATCAATCCGTATCGTTTGACTGACAGCTCCATCAATGCATTAGCTTCGAATGCCTGAAAAACTTTAACCTTAACTGGAGGTAAGAAGCAATTTCTCTTTCTTCATCTCGCACTTTTGACCTAACTATACGCAGTCTTTTTTGTCCTCCATTGAAGTGGTTCCTTCGTTTGAACTTACGCATAGCAATCTTTAAAACCCCCATTAACGCAAATCAAATAAGCATTCACTATCACACATCTGCATATCATTTTATTCCAGTACAGCATACAATTCTTATGCTTAAGAAATCGTAGTAATAGGGTTAAATGAATTTGATGTAAGTGTGAAATTTTTAAGCTGAAATCTATGTTATGTAACCCTAATATTCATTGCCATAAAGTGTACAGAGATAACAGGCCCAACGAATTTTCCGAACAAGTAATTCCTAGAGCCATTGTCATTGCAATGTAATTGAAAATTGAAAAACATATATGACGTAATTTTTAATATAATGATTATTTTTTTATATGAAACGTAGATTATAGAGGCGATTCTCCTAAATAAATATTTACTAATCAAATAGAAATCTATGAACAAAATATGGCAATCAAAATAAGTCGTTGATGCCAAGAAGTTTTTCGAACCTCATGCGCAAGTTAAACGGCGCGCGAGTCCCTGCCAAATGTGAATGTCTTCCAACAACAACGGATGAATGAATCTAAGTTATCCTTTGATATTCTTTACTGAAATTATGAACAGTGCAAGAATTTTCCAGCAGTAGAGATAAGAAAGTCCCACCATAGCCTCTCTTCAGGACCAACGATCAATCATGAACATTTATAATCATGGAAAATTTTTTGACACCGATTCGCTCTTTGAAAATATCATGACAGGACTTGTGTCCAGCGAATCTACCTTCTACCATCAAAGGAAATATTGACATAATGATGTATTCTTTGTCTAATTTATCGTAATAGATAGCAGAGTTGCTTTGATTTCTTGCATGTATTCTTGAAAAATATATCTTGCACGATGGCCCACAATGGCCACTCGTGTCCTTCAGATTTGGTTGAGAGAATTTCATAGTCTCACAATGAAGCTAGCATCGCAAAATCAATAATTCGAAGACGATTTAAGAGAATAATATATAACCTTATTGATAACAATTTCTGTCGAAGTAAAAAGCTGCTATATGAGAGACAAGGGTTCTTGTCGAATTCTTGATGTTCACAAACTGCGTATTAGCAGTTCTTCATCGACTCAAATTTGTCTAGCATTTTTAATAAGCATGGTTGAGCGTATGTTCTCAAGAAAGGCTTGTTGCAATGGAGGCATCTACTTGTCTCTATTACTGGAACGCTTGGAAGATGTCATAATTGCACGCGAAATATCAAAGGTTAACTGAATAAGAAACAAAGGTTATATTTGCAATCAGTGTATTGTTCATTGATTATGATTACGCGGGTCCACAACGAAGTGTTCATGTTTGCCCAATATTTTATAGAATCAGTCTTAATTGTTTGATTTTCTGCATTCAGTTTACTCCTGGCATTGATGCTTTTTGCATAATGAAGTTTAACCGCCTGGCTTCTAAAGTCAGGGTTATTTATCAGTGACTAATATTGGCTAGAACTATTTTTTCCCTGTTTTCGCTCAAATATTGGCTAAAACTGTTTTCTCCCTGTTTTAGCTCAAATATTGGCTAGAACTGTTCTCTCCTTGTTTTAGCTCAAACAAGACGTATTTTATAACAGCTTAGTATGTCGGCAACTTTCTTCCACTAATGTTGCAAGGTTCAACAAACAACCACGAACTCTCAACGTCATGACCTGTTCTTCGTGCACGGGCTTAACCCCCGCCGTACCAGGTTCTCGTGACATTATTGAATAATAATATAATCTCCATATGCATTGAAATAACTATTGAAAGACGTAAAACATAATAGAGATGAAATAAATCTCTCACTCACCAAATAATATCTTAAGATGATAATAGACTGCAATATAATAACCTACAGACCCACAGAGACTCACGCGACTGTGAAATCCTCCCGTCTCCCTAGGTGGGGGAGGGGTGGGGCAGGGACTCACGCGACGGTTAACTTAAATTTGAGGCTAGAAGAACCTCTTAACATCTACTTATTTGCGAAATATTTTGTATATTGATATTAACTTTATTATTAAATATTTATTCGGCCGCATCACCTCAATAATCTTAACTACCACTACAAAAGTAAACATTAAATGCTAAAATTCACGGTATCACTATTTTTAATGTCTTTGCGGCAACTCTAGATATCGTTTGTTCGGAAAATCCTTCGAATGGTAATCAATTAGCAGGTAAAAAATATTTTAGTCGGATGATAATTTCCAAAAAAGTTGTTTATCGCTCAACCCTATTTTGCTAGATTAGACGTAAACAGACACTGGCTTTAGCGGCGTGCCTATATAAAGGAACTGGTATGATGTCCTTCAGGCAGTTACTCAGAAATGAAGTCTCAGGTAAGACTTATTCTTGGTCTTAAGATTTGTCCTTGAAAACAAAAGTTATTCAATAAATTTTTTTCAGCTCATGAAGGCCATGGAGATGACTGTTGTCTTCGTGAAAATCGTATTATCATAATTTTAATTAATATGCTGTCATGACTTTCAAATTCGACTTTAGATTCAATTGTCAAAATAAACCGAAATTGAAGTAGATGTTTACTAACGAAAAAATTGGCAGTGTATATATTCATGATTTAATACTAAAGTTTTTGGTGAAAGTTACTGTAGTAATAAAATAATTATAATGACTTGACTGTTTTATATAACGCGATGCTTATTAAGGGTAAAGAACAAAATTTCCAGTAATGGCCAAAAAGTGAGGGCAATGAAATATTGTTTAGATCATTTATGCAGTAAATTCAATATTGCGGTTGATCCTAACTATCGGAGGGCCATCTCAGCGACAAGTTGTACAAGGGATGATCGGACTATATGGTTAACTAATGTTTTTAATTATTTATTAAAGTTATTATATGCCTCACTCGCTGGTAATGGTTGATATACCATTAACTGTTCCTGTATAATGCGCAATCATTCGTTGCGATGCAATTTATATTGTTCTTTTTCATTTCTAAACTGTATAGAACGACGTTCAAAATTATTATATTTTGCGAAATTACATTATTTTTTGCAACCATAAGGCTTTTTCTTATTTCAGATATTTCTGCTGTGCGTCGTAGCGGCGGTGGCCGCATTTCCTCAGCAAGGGCAGGACCAAACTTCTGAGATTATTCGCCAAGCTTTAAATTCAGTGAGTTCAAAAAGCAAATTAATAGTTTGTTTATTGATTATGAAGGTAAACTGGACTTGGATAATGTCATTTAAGGCGAATTGAAATTGATAAATTGCAAGAATAATACGCGCAAGCGTGAATTTTCATTATTTTTTGATCTACAATCTCACAGTTTACTTTAATGCAAGAAATCGTACTTATTGTTTATTTTGGAAATTAATACAGTTTACATGCTTTACTTTCTTGCAATATATCATTGAAAAAAAAATATTTCAAACTTCTCCGATAAATGTTTTAGATTTAAACCGTAAATATTCTACAGACTTTTTATGGAGAAACAACTTACGTACCTTCTGTTAATTATTCAACATAATGATCGTATTCCCATATGAAAATCGTGAAAATAAAGCATTGATAAAAATTTGTGACTTTCATTTGATGGAAGATTTTTCACGAAAATACGACTACAATCGTGATTTCTTCTCACAGGAAGCTGTGCAGAATGTCTTCAAAGAAATCAGCTCGGTGACGCAGACCTTGCAGTCCGACCGACCTTTCGAAGGCATCAAGAAGATCAACTCCCTCGCCTTCGACGCGGCTCTCCAAGCCTCGCCTCCCGACCGCCGTCAGGAGATTCAGAACTCCCAGGGGCTGATAGTCTCGATCCTGGACGCTGTGGACAAATTCATAGCAGATCTTCCAGCAAATTCAACAGCAATCCCACCAATCAACATCCCCCAGATCCCACCTATTCAAATTCCTGCGATTCCCCCCATTCTAATCCCTGGGCTTCCTCCCATTCAAATTCCAGGGGTGACCACTGACAAACCTCAAGCTTCATCGAGCCCTTCAAGTGGCCACAACCGGTTTTAATTTCTTATCAGTTCTAATTACTAAATGAAATAAAGATGCAAAAATACCTCACAACGAACATCTAATTTTTTGAAACACCTGAAGATTTTCTGTAAAGTGAATTATTGAATATTATTAGAAAATTTGCCGATTTCCAGTGGAACGATAAACTTAAGCCTTGCAATTTTCTTTACTGCAGAAAAATTAGCGAAATTATGATTTACATATGAACATTGATATGAATTGAGGCACTTGAAGAACATGTCTATAAAACCTTGGTAGTCTGTTTCTTAAGAATATCAAGTCACAATCGCCTATTCAATGACAACCTCGCAGCTTAGCTAAAATAAATAATATACAAAAATTTGGGACAAATAAAACACCTCGTTTTAATATTTATTGTTCATTACCCTTTGTTTATGCACACCATTCTAATAAAGCTACAAAATTCACATGTAGCCAACACTCTCTTTAAAATCATTTTGTTTAGCCTTGGATTTCGTCAACTCCAAGGCCATCAAGTCAACTATAGAGCTAGCTAATTTGATCACACTTGAGTTCCTTTCAGGAAATTTCTTCCGAAATTATCATTTAAATAGCTTCTCGGAATCAAGTTTCCACATGCAAATTCGTGAATGCGTTCCATGCATAAAATAAATTCACATCTGCTAGTGCAATTCTCACGTTCAACATCGCATAAAATTCTACAGGTTTTTTCGTTACTTAAGATAAACTTATCGAAACCAGTTTCACGAGAGTTCAAAAATCTTCTATAAAAAATCCGATTAAATCAGAATTTGTAAAAACATCTATCGTTGCTTCATCGCAAGCCCGGCTCTCCATAAAGTGACATGACTTGTAATTTTTAGACACTGACAGACAAACTGGACGAATCTCGTTCAGGCCGATGCCCCAAAAAAACCTTACCAGTTGATAATAACTTGAGTCGTTGGTTACGTAACATAGTGGATAGCACTCATACGGGTCATCTACTCACATGAGTTGATTTACAGCAGCATTGGAGTTAATTATGAAACTTCCAGACACATGCCCGCCTTACCTTGGAGGAGATATGCAGAGAAGAGGAGATGTGCAGTTGAGAGGAGATATGCAGGATCCTATGGTAATGAACACATGAGAGACTAGAAGTGTAATGGTCTTTGTCTGCACATATGGAGCTCAAAACCGTCATGAAATCCAACGATATTGTAATGAGACTCCTCAATTATTATAGTCATGAACTTTCGCAGCTTTTTTACGTATACGTAGCAAGCTAAATAATCTCTTTAAACAGCTATATAGTAGCGTATGCATCGTTTGTCAGTCTATACTTCTTCTCGCTTCGAGTCACCTGATAGCATCGTTGACGCTCCGAGTATGAACATCTTCTAAAACAGACTAGACCAAGCTATGCAGGAGCATATGTTCAGTCTTAAAATGCCTAGCAAATTACGGACCAGGCAATAAGTCCAGCAGCTATCTCAATCAATTGTCAGCTATGGAAAGATTGGGTTCCAAAAGCCGGATCCCTTGTGAATCAAGTCATGAAAAGTTCAAGAATCGGCAACAGGTCATGGGCCTATTTCTTCAACGCCGACACTTCTATTCTATTCTATTCTATACCCTCGACCAGTTCTGTAGCTGGAGAGCAGATTAACAGTTCTTATCCGTGGATTCAAACGTCTGAGTCACGTACATATTACGGCTGCAAATGAGTGATTAATATCGTCGTAAGATAAAAATGTTACAACAAAGAACAAACGGGCGCTGAGTTTTAACGTATGATGTAACTGCACCCGGAACACTTTTTTTTCTTTAATGTTGCACTGAAATTTCCGATGCCATGCTACCACCAAAAATATTTAATTTTAATAATAGGCATAACTTTCCTTAAGCCATGTACAACCAATTAACAATTTCAGTAAATTTCGGATATTGGCACGTGATACAAAAATCTATTCAACATAGATTCGTAAAAAAAAAACAGCCCAGCCTACGTGATGCAGTAGAATGAGCTTCCAAGGCCGGCAACGCCCAAACTTGGCACTCTGACGTAAACTCAATTCTGCGTTCAGCTGCACCGGCCTAACCAAGCCACGACTAGAGTTGTTTTTGCCACTGCTAATCTCACTAAAGTATTTGACTGATCCACACTATTATCAAATCGAGATTTCTAATGAAAACTTAGGTAATTAAATGAGTTAGACAGATATTTTGAGTTTTTAATGCAGCCGGTACAGTTAATTTTGGCCCGTATATTCTGAGCCAAAGTTAATATATAAATTGCTATATTCACCTCCCATTACTAAAAAAATTCATTAATCATATGAGCATTCATGGCGCAGCGGTGGCTCACACCAAGCACATAAACGACATTCTAAACAGCTTTCATTGCAGGAAACTTGATGGTGCTTCAAATTCACAATAAATTATGGGTGAAATAAATTTGTTCAGAAATGTTCCCGAAAATGTTCGATGAAAATATTTAAACAACATGCGAAAGTGTAATAGAGCCACTGTCTCAAAAAAGTTATTTACGATAGAAGTATTTACGGGCTGTTGAAGGTATTTACTAGCGTTGAACTGTTATTACGTGCCAATGACTCGCCGAAAAAATTCGCGTGTATATGTGTGCACCGCAAAAAAACGAGGGCTTTTTTTATCTTCCAAAAGGACCAAAATGCAGATTTGCGGACCAGTTCGGTATAGGGCGGCCGCTGCAGGAGTCCTGGTCATCGGTTCGACTGGGCGGACCGCCGAGTGTTGTTTCGATATAAAAGACGGCTGAGGATCCTAACCTTCAGTTATTTGTGTCCTTCGATGAGTCCTGCAGCTATGAATGCTCTGGTGAGGATACCAATAGTCTCATTTCTGGAGTACTTTTAGAGGAAATTGGAGTTGAAAATAATTTTACCTAATATTTTTCTATTGATTAAAGTAATACATATCCGAATTCCAGTCGGAAATTTGATAAATATTATGAGTTTTCTTGTTTTATCAGGACTGTCTTGCCGTAAGTGGCAAGGAAAATAGTATTTAGAAGAATATCCTCTGCTACAGTCTCGTTTGAACTTATCTATATTTCTCGTTAGGACCACTGTATTGGTATTTTTGATCACTAATCATCTCTCCTAACAATTTAATCAGTTGTGATGTTTTCGTTTTATTTGTTTGATCATACAGGTTATCTTCGCGTGTCTCGTGGCGGGCGCCAGTGCGCGACCTGGGCAGCTCTCATCCTTCCCCTCTAACTTCGACACGGTGAGTGTGAGACGAAAAACCAACTTTGGTAACGACGTTTTCGCGTCAATTGGGTCCATGCGTGAACACCGATAGCAATTAATTCATACCGTTCATACCAAAACTACTCATTAATTCACGAGTAATTTTGCCGAGCACAATTAAAAAAACAGACAAATTGCAATGAAAAAAACTGAAACTCTATGTGACACCATGCAAGATCTAATTTGTCTGGGGTTAATCACAATTGAATATAATCATGATTTTAACTTACTTCATGTTCCAAAAATTGAAGCTTTTCTTGGTTAACGATGATATTGACTCAGTGTTCGTTGGTTCGAGAAAATAGGAATGGTCACAGACTGCAATATCGTAGCCCAGCACGGTACTTATAAACCATTTCCCGAAAAGCCACCCAGAATTTTCTGTAAACATTGTAGTTCTGTTCAAAATGATGTGTGCTCGGCCTACACTTTTGGATATTGGTGGTGGTTAACGATAAAAAATTTGTAAACCCAATTTGAAATTCGATGTGCTTTCCAATATTCGCTTAGTAATAGTAATGAATCATATAATTATTATTTAGCACTGAATTGAAATAGTCAAGAAAGAAACTTGACACAAATTCAGCACCTGGTGACAGCCCTGAACCTTGTTCAAAAAATATTCTTATCATACTCGCAACTTCAAACTGACAGCACAGAAAGTACAAGGTTCATTCCTTAAAAAAAGTTGCTACCGAAGCAGATTAATGCCACTTGAAATGTTAGGGAAATGTCAGAAGTCTTCGTCCACTCGGATAAGACCTGGCTCATATTGTAAACAAATTTAAGCTCAGATCAGTCAAACCTAATTATTAACAACAAACTTGCTTTTTCGCTAACGTAGTGTTAATTTCTTCTAATTTAAACTTTGTAAATATTTACAAATACATAATAGGAATAACATATAAGGTTCTGTATATCGGTAACTTATCTCTGAAGTGCCGCTACTGATAGCAATGTAAATTGAATTGAGTCTTTTTGCCTGATGGATAAAACGAAAATTAATTTAGCAAAAATTTTTTGAACTGGAAGACAAACTAATGCATATTGATCAGTCATTGTTAGCCTGCAGGTATTGTTGGGTCATTCAAATTTAATTTTCATATAACGTGGCTGGACGGACTACAAATGAAAAGTATTATTCTTCGTACTTATTTGGAAATGCTCCATGCAATTCTAACTTGTGAAACTGCCTGAATCTGAAACGAAAGGTATAAATTTTTTCCTTGCAGAATTTGAAGGACAAGACGTTAGAGAAACTCCTCTTTGGGAACGTGACCGCATGTTCAGCCTTGAGAGTTCTCTAAAAATATTAATAACTCATTTAAGTTACCCTGTGAAAAAGATATACGTATTTGTATGAAGCTATGAGTTGTACTTAATCGGAAATAGATAAGTGTTTGAATTTTTTATCCATTCTTATTTTCTAATTAATTGTTGTGTTGTATCCGATTACGAAAAACGTGTTTTTTGCGATTTCACGAGGAGAAAATTTTTAATTTAAATTTTTTCTTTTTTCATATCATATCATATCATATCATATCATATCATATCATAACATATTATAACATAGTAATGTCGGCGCTAAAGCATAGGCTTGGTGTGACCTGTCGACTATTCTTGTACTATTCGCTACTTGTTCACAGTTAATCTAAAAACAGGTCCTTCGACCGGATGTTCTCAAAACTGAGGTTAGTTTGAAATAATATAGGCTTCCACCAGGTTCGATATGGTACTAGGCGTTTCACGTCTGAACATATATTTTTCCATAGCTTTATCTGCGGCTATGGAGTTGGCTGCGGCATTGAAATCCGAAGATAAAATCGGAAATCCCGTCATTAAGTTCGATTCAGTTTCATGATGGTAAAATGTTGGCCATGATGGTAAAAATGTTTCCATGCGTCGTTAATAAGCAATTCTTCTTGAAATTCTTAAAAAACTTACCTGTTTGTCTGCTAACAGAGCGCCCTGCAGAATACGTTCAGCAACCTGCCGAGCGCAGCCGCGGGCTTCGAGACCGGCGGTGCGATAGGCGGCCTTGCAGGCGTCGGTGACCGCATCGCGACCATCATCCTGGACAGCACCCCAGCCGACCAGAAGGAGTCCGTGACCAACATCATCAAGCTCTCGGATGGTTTCCTCGACGGAGTGGGTAGCTGGTTCAAGTCGCTTCCTCCTTCTGCTTTCGAAGTGCCAAAGGTGGATGTCCCTCAATACGTCGCCCCAAAGTTCGAAGTTCCAGAAAATTTCAAGTTTTCTGACATCAAGATTCCTGAGTTTAACTTCGTTGTACCCCAAGCCCCCCAAGCCCAAGCTCCAAGATACTAATAAAGCATAACTTTTATAACCTGCAAGTATGAGTTTTATTTCTCCAAAATGTGTCCACGCAATTATGAAATAACTACTCATGAGGTATTATGAGCAAAATCATCTCCCACGTATTTTTTAAACATTTCAGATTAATGTTTTGATGATGAATGTTTTAGATTAATGTTTTGTTAATTAATTAATACTCTAAAAAGTTGCTCGGCATTCAGCAGAACTTTGCGGAATTTAATTATAAATCCATTCAATATTCCATTCATCATACTTCGTCAATGTGTATTGCAAAAATTCAGTAAGCGAAATTTCCGTACTTTGAGTTTCCTTGTTTGCCAGAAAAACACTCATCGACCTCGTTTCCGAAAACCGTCAGATCTTTGGTTTCTTAATTTTTAAATTCTTTCCAACGAAAATAACTTCTATAGTTATAAATATCGATTCTTTTATGACTCAAACAAATGAAATGTTATTCTAATGTGTTTTTGCTTTTCTGATAGGCTCAGGGCATTCGATTTCAATCTAAGTGCTAGTAAGGGCTGCTAAAAAATTTTTGACAAGTGTTTATTTTAGTAATTTTTGGCGGTACTAGTCTAACAAATTAAAAGGAGATAGGACATATTAAACACAGACTGGAGTGGCATGATAGTATTTACTGTTCTATTAAATAACAGGGCATGTACCCCCACTACGTGATGTCAGGAAGAAATGTTAGTCTTGTGTATACTTGTCATTACTTGCATTACAGTGCCATGGGTGCTGGCATCAAAATGTTCCTCTGTTATAAATAAATAGATGCGCTTTTAACCGTTCAGCTCTTTAATCAATTAACTGAAATCTGAAACATCGATCTCGGGTATTTGAACTTTGGGGATTTTCACGTCGGGAATCTCAGGAATTTCGATAGCCGGCACCTCAATAGCGGGAATCTCGATATTGCCATCGAATGATCCATCAAATTTAAACTCAGGAATTTCGGGAATTTTGATTTCTGGAATTTCTGGAATACTGATCTCAGGGATATTGATTTTAGGTATTTTAACGGTTGGAATATCGGGTATCTTCGCGGACTTGATGAGCTCGTTGACTGAGTAGAGGATGCTGGCGGTGAGATCTCCAGCGTTCTGCACCTGTTCACGCTGTTCTTCAGGGGCGTTCCTAGCGACGAGGTCGACGACGGCAGAGGTAATGTAGTTCACACCCGCAGCTCGGTCACGCCCCTGGATGTTCTTGGTCACGGCTGGAAGAAACTCCTGAATTGATTCAACGACGGCGCGCTAGGGGATAATGAAAATTAGATTAAAATATTTGTTCAGATGTTTGGTATTAAGCCCTCCTGCTGATATCTTATAGGCTTTCACACGTGAAAACTTTAGGCGTTCGTTTCACCTACTGCGGTAATTCCCCTGCTATTACCATTAATTCTTTGGGCATTTTTTGGATATTAGTAATAATTAAAATAATGCTCTTCTTATAATTATTGTTAGTAGAATTAATTTACGAGAAAAATTTACGGATTCTTACCGAGTCAACCTCTGGCCTTTTATCTGGCCGAGCTGCGGCCAGGGCCACGATGCACAAAAATATCTGGAATAAGAGGGAATCAAATGAAGTTATTCAGTATTGTTCAGAGCTCATAAAAGTTAGTTAATCGAATAAGAAGTACAACATTTAGCCGTTGATGTCAATTCCTTCGTCAATTTTTATTGTATTTTTGTGATGGAGTTAATTTTGAAAAACTTTTCATTGAACCTTCCGTAAATTTCTCAGTTTAACCAATCCGGCATATGGAGATGTCATCTTTCAAAGCTGGCCTCACATGACAAAAAAGTGGCCGAGATACCAACAGTTGGGAGCGAGGCCATATATATAACTACTGCAGCACAGGCTGGGGCCCCTCAGTTCTTATCTCTGCATATTTTAGCAGCCAGCTTAGCACGTACATGTCTCAGGACACGCATCTCCAAATAGGGCTCTACTGACGCGGAGTGCACATGTATTTTACTTACATAAATGTGACAGTATACCAATTAAGAGGCCTTCACTAAAAATATCGGTTAAATCTTGGCGGAGGAACTTTCTGTTAAAAATTTTAACATTGGCGAATGAGGAACATCAAAGACATGCGTTTGAAATAAAATATTATGGAAGTCCACCAGGGCAAATTAATTACGATATCATGTTAATTTGGTGATTATTTCATTAGTTAACACCGTATCAATTAACATTCAAGCAACAAAAAATAAACTGAAAATATGACAATTATCTTTCTTTCTCATGCCTATGATTCCGATCTATTTATTTGTGTTTTGTATTTTTGTTTGTTGCTCCTTATATTACACCTATAATAATAAGCATGAGTTGAGTAAAAAGTTGTATTTAAATTAAAGAACACAGCTGTTCACCGCATCCCAGCGTAAAGTTGTAGCGCAACATGCAGCAGCTCTGCCCGCCCCACGGCATAAACTCGCTCAGCTTTGTTAATGAACAAGCTTAAGGCGTTGGTATTTAGCAAAGTATGCCTCTGCCAAGCCTCGTATCGTTGTTGTCTCGTATAACTTGCTTGCTGAGCATTCTTTCATGCTAATTTACGGTGAGACGGAGGATTTGATCTTCAATTAGAATTGCCGTGTCATAGATATATAATAGTCATTCACTTGTTTTTAAATATATTGCACAAGGCAATAAATTGATCAAGGCAAATATTGCGAATGATTCTCACTTGGTCCATTTAAACTTTGCCAAGTTTCTAAACAGCAAACATCACTCTGATTTATCCTTTTTTGATGTAAATTTTATTACATGTCTGGGCAAAATAAATTATTCGGATAAGTATATAAGCCTCTTTAATTGCACTTCTAATTGTCTTGCGTATGAATTTTAAAGTAACCTACATCGATAAATAATGCTGTTTGTATTTCTTTACATACTTTACTATGTATTTTACATCTTAATTCTTAAGAAAGGTTTCGTCTACATGAATTTCTCTAGAAAATTAAACTATACTGCAGAGTCGCGTCATTTTGATTAAATTGTATCTCTGCTACAGAGATCCAATTACTATTTTATGTAAGGATTCACGAACGAAATAATAATTGATATTAATTAGCGAGGTGACTGTTGTGCTGTACTCACCAATGTACGCATGATGAACACAATGAGTTAGGATTGTTCATAGCATTCTTATATATCTTGTGCCGGGTAGAAGTCGACCTTCACCTAGCACGCCATTATAGTATGACTTTCAAGATATCATCGATAAAGAATTGTTGATTCATTTGTAGAATTTTGTAAGTATGGAGGATAAGATGCTTCAATTTCAATGGAATGCTAAAATTACATGAAGTGTTTTGTGCTGGAACTTCAAAATCAGCCGAATTGGAAAATATTTCAATTTTCCTCCTCCTTTTGTTGAAGCTCATAGCCAGTATGGAAATATATCTACGAATATCTACGATCAGAATAAAATTTTCGGTGCTAATTATGTTCAAGTAAAAAGACCTCGAACAGCTACTTTTAACATTTACAATGTCTGCAAGGCAACTACGATACTATAAAGACTTCCCAACATAAGGATAAATTATAATTTTTATTATTTTCGGAGAAGTTTGAAGGGCTTTGCTTAAACTTTTATAACGACGATTTAACTTATTGTAATTTTATGGTCATCGATCTAACATTTCTCCAAACCGATGGTTCAGCGATCTCTTCCTGAAGCACGTGCCCTAATTAAGAATTTCATTTTTTCTATTGTAAAAATAATCAAATTTCTCATCCACATGTCGGATGATAAGGGATGCGTTTTTTTCTATTTTAAATGATGACGAGAACGAACGTGACGCTATTGAATGTCAAAAAGATAAATTTCTCTGTTTTTTATATGACCGGGTTAGCGTCAAGGTGGCAACGAGACACCAGTTCTTGTTTTTCCTAGTCTCTGCAGTCGACATGGATCTATTCAACTATCCGCCTGCACGTAATACCAGAAACAAAAATGATTTTTCATTAGATCTCCCCGTGTAGCTTGCGAAGTATTTTTCAGTTATTGGTATAAATTTAAATCTTATCATCATTGAGCAGGCTTACTTTTTACAACACTTTTTATTACAACACTTCTCTTTAACTCCACTTCTTGTTGTTTGTTTGTTTGTCTGCTACAAATCTTATAATCGATATTTAACATACTTCTACCTCTCTAATCGATCTGAAATTTTGCACACTTGTGAAAAGTTGGAGACAAGGCATGAATCAAATGTCAAAATAAATGATTTTAAAAATTAAAAAAAATATTTTCTCAATATTAAAAAAATGTAAAAAATAATTTTGTCAGCTACAAATCTTATAACTGATATTTGACACACTTTTACCTGTCTAATTGATCTGAAATTTTGCACACTTGTGTGAAGTCAGAGGCAATGCATGAATCAATTAATAGAATAAATAATTTTGGAAAAAATTATATATTAAAAAAATTATATATTAAAAAAATTTAAAAATTCATTTTTTAATATATGAAAATTAAATGAGAAATTCATTGTACATCTGTAAGATTGGAGACACTGGATTTTTTGGAAGTGTTGTCTTTAAAAAGTAATTTTTTAACGTATATTATTTTCTCTTTAACTTCACTTCTTGTTGTTTGTTTGTCTGTCTGCTACAAATCTACTAATGAATATTTAACACACTTCTACCTCTCCAATTGATCTGAAATTTTGCACACTTGCGTAAAGTTGGAGACAATGCATGGATCAATTGGTAGAATATATGATTTTAAAAATTAAGAACAACTTTTATTGAAAAAATTGAAAAATAATTTTGTTTTCTACAAATCTTATAATCGATACTCAACACACTTCTAGGTGTCCAATCGTTCTAAAATTTGGCACGCTTGGCAGGCGTAAAGTCGGAGACAAAGTAAATAAATAATTTTGAAAAATTTAATTTATTTTAATTTTAAATATAAAACTTGAAAATAAATTTTTTAAATATTTGATAATAAAATTAGAAATTCATTCTACATCAATGACATCGCAGACACTGAATTTTTTAAAAATGTTGTCTTTAAAATGTAATTTTTAACGCATATTTTTATACATGCACTGCAAATTCCCGCATAAGAAGCAGATAGTGATTGATGACCTCAAATTCATAAATGACCTTCCAGCGCACGCTGCGGAGCTACAGAATCGGCCGTAACAGAACGCAAAATTCCAGAATCACTTTAGTTAGTGCTGAAATAATCATATGAAATCGCTGAGTTTCAGAAACTTCCAGTTAAAGAAGTGCTTACACCACCTGCAGCCTAAATCATTTCAATCATTGCTAAGGTGCTAGTATCGGGACTGCCTCGTTGCCCACGACCTTTCGATGAGAGCTTGAGAGTGAGGTCAGTCGTTACGTAACTCCTGCTCGTAATTGAAAGTTCATCACCTGATATTTTTAATACCGACGATAGTACTTGGTATAATAATATCCAATGAGGTTATCTGTGGAAGAAAAATACAGTAAATTCTGAAAATTATTCGTGAAATCAATCGTTTCACAGAATATTTTCTATCATCGAACGAATACAGTTGAACATAAAAATGATGGCGTGAGAACCTCATCTACTGTTTGGATGACTATTATTAATAACAACACAGCAGAATTAATTAGTATGATAGAAAACCCATTAATGGTGCTATATGAACCAGCCTTTCACAGCTAGAGTTTCACTTATACCCCGAGCTAGACAAAATGTACACTGTGTACGTCGATATACTCCTGCAAGCGGAGATTCTATTCAAACTTGGGTTCATTTAATATTTGATAATATTCTCGCGGATATTTGTAGCATTCCACCAAACTTGAATATTTATTAATGTATACAGCAAACTTGTATGCCAAAGTAGGTTTTAGTTTGAAATATTAAGTAATACGTTACCGATCTGGATGTAAATTAAACTACTTTATTACGGAAACATGAATTTTAAACGAAGAAAATGTTACAAAAATTGTTCGTATTTTCATTGTAACCATTTCGGAAACCGGCCAAATTAACTTTTCAACATATAATCGAAGAAGTAAAATAAACCTTCCAACCTGAATTGGACGAGTCCCGCAAATCCTCGTGTTAACTCAAATTTAGAAATTTGAGTAAACTGAAATTAGAAATTGAGTTCTCATCATGAGATGAGAACTGTATTTCTCATCATTCTGATGAAAAATAGTTCTCATCAGAAGATCAGATCAATTTTGAGTAGTTCACGTCATTCTGATGAGAAATACAGAGGTTGAAGGTAGGAAAAGCGTTCATTTGCATTTTATCATCCTTTAGCTTTGCTTCTGAAACTCTGCTTCTAAAAACTGTGAGTAGCAGGTACTGTTGATGAAATATTTGCCAAATGATAACTTGCAGTTATTGTTGGCCAATAATTATGAAACAGGTTCCTCCTCTAGGTGTATGTATTTATGATACGCATGACCGGGTGCGGTCCTAAATTTCTGATTTACGAGTCCAGTTTTGAGCCTTGCGTATCAGCGTAAGACGGAATGACATCGAGTAACTTCTACAACTGATTGGAGAGCACAGCGACGAGCAATAATCACTCTGCAAAATCTACTTGCACATCAACCTTATTCAGCTGTGCTCCTCCCTGCCCACCTCAGCACTTGTATCCAAAAGCAATTTTACAATATCAGCTTCCACCTTCGGTGCTACAGAACTCAAGACTTTGGAATCCTTGCATACTTTTGAATGGAAACACATAGCATTTACTTTTTGATGCATTAGTAATAATAATATAATAAGTAATTTAGGTAAATGTTAGTAATTAATTAGTATTAGTACTTAGCTCGTAATAGACTCGAATGCTAAGTTAATAGAAAGAACTCTACCGTTGTAATAACATTTCTCCCACTCGTGTAGAACATTTTTAATTGAACAAGTAATTAGTTAAATATTGTGAAAGATACGGTTTTATGTCTTGTCCGAGTTTTTAATCACTGCTATAGTCGTTTGTTCGATTGATTATTGAATTTTGAACTTAAGATAAGTATTGTCGTTTTCGGCCATATAGGGGAGAGTTATTTGCCAGTTTTTTGCTTTTAAAGTATGATAAAATTTACTGAGCTACAATCACAAAGCAGACCTGCTATCGGCTCATCCAAGCGAATTTTTTAGACGAAACTTATAATAAGGAATTAAACAGAATTTTATAATTGAATTTCTCCTAACAATACAATCGTAGACTTCGAATTGACGATACAAGTAAAATGTTATTACATCCATTGTAAGAATAACCGAAGAGGGCTGGTGTTCGTGACGCATAAATCGATTCAAAAATAAAACCCAATTTGTAGGCCTAAAACCGAAGCTATATCATCACTCGCAACAGTTTTTGTTAAATACCTTCTAAAAAATCTATTGACAAAAATATTGAAAAAATTCTCCCACAGTTCATGAGATGTTCACGTTTATGAGATGACTGCAAGACTGTAATCTTTTCATTCGGTTGCTAATTGAGGCGCAAAATCAATCTTATTATTTTACAACTATAAGGCTTTATCCAGCGATAAGTCATTTTATTACCACAGTCCGATAGACTTCACAAATCAGCTTCAAGAACGTTTAATATATAGGTTTCGAGTAGGTTTTTCTTGCAGTTTCTAATGTTTTTCTCATGGTTCAAGTAAAAATTAAATTATAGTTTCTAATATTTTATAAGTTATAATATTTCTATTTATAATTGGAGTTTATCATATAATAACAGTTCATTATTATATTTATAACCTTTAACACTTTTTATACCTACTTTTACCGTTTGTCCGTTAACTGCCTCTCGGTAACCTCTCTCGTAGTTGAACTTAAACTAGCAATTGAAAACCAATTTTATTATCGGTCCCAGATTCTCATGTAAGACGCTAAATTTAACTGACTTGTTTTGCACATACATACTTGAATTTTTAGCCGCGATAAACGCACAAGTGAGAAAAAAGTTCTCTTTGGGAGTACTTTTCTCTTTAAAAAAATTATGTTTTTTGCATGCAGTTCCTGTACTTATGACTTGCTCGTCATAAGAAGCTTGTAATTTTTAATATTAGAACTCGCATGAAAATTTAGCCTACTATCAGTGCCACGTAAGTCAGCTCTCGGCAGTTATATACAGCACATACCGCGCGTCAATAAAAACCAATTATACATATATAGTACGGTTCAGAATTACGATTTGTAGGGTTCGATTGCCACACAATAACTATTTTTCAATTGCGCTGGAAAGTTGTGGCACCGTTTTGTTAAAAAATTGATTGTTAAAACAATTACAGGCCTGCGACAGTGGTGCTGTGGCAAAGTTTGTGGCATTGACGGTAAATCTTTTATGCAAACAATTGACCAATCCAAATAAATGAAAAATATATATAAAAATAATATAGAAATAAAACCATTCAGTTCACGAGTAATTTTTCGTTTTTAAATCGCGACAAATTGTTCTATGCTGCCTCTAAAGACATAATGGAGCAAAATGCCAAATTTTATCAATTAAATCATTTCCCCCGAGAAGCAGGAAAGAAAGCGTGCGGTAATCGTGAATAAATTTTATTTATATCTTAAACTTTGCCAAACATTCCCAGAATTTATCACTGAAGCAAACAAAGGATGAACAACCGGAGCTTGTAATAGACTCGAATGCTAAATTAATAGAAAGAACTCTACCGTTGTAATAACATTTCTCCCACTCGTGTAAAACATTTTTAATTGGTAAAATTGCAGTTTGTGCGCATTCAGTGTCAGCATTACTAACTTTTCCCCCCAATAAAATACGCCAGGAGTTTTTTTACTTTTTTCTTTATTTGAGTTACAAACATTTTTACACTTCATGAAATGAGCAATGCTTTGTAAATAGTTTTGAATCGCGCTAGACTGACGCAAACATGTGGACAAAAACTAAATTCAAAAATATGAATTTCCGATTTTTTTAACTTCTTATGCAACTCGAATATTAAATTCAGGGATCACGATCTCAGGTGCGTTAAACTCTGGAATGTCGGGGATGTTTACTTCAGGAACATCGGGAACTTTGATTTCAGGAATCACGATTTCCTGAGGCTTACTGAAATCAGTCTTAGAGAAATCCGGGATTTCGAAGTCAGGGATTTTCACTTCAGGGATATCGGGGATGACGACTTTAGGGATCACGACCTTAGGGATGACAATCTCAGGGACATCGACTGCGGGAACGTCCTTGACAAGATCCCCAACAGCGGACAGGATCGCGTTTGTGAGATCCGCGCTTCCTTCGATCTGCTCTTTGCGTTCCTCAGGTGCGTTCTCCTTGATGATCTCCGCAACGGCGGATCCGATCTTCTGGACTGCCTGGGATCTGTCAGATCCGCGGATGCTCTCAGTGATCACGGGCAGGAACCTCAGTACGCTCTGGACTGAATCCTGTTGAAGGATGCGAAGCAAGTTACGAGTGGTTATAATGGACAGAAAATAAGGCAAGAAAAAGCACTTTTTTCACCACCTAAACCAACATTACCACCAACATTATCACATCTAAACACCGTTCAAGGGAGCATTTGTCAATATATGAAGACAAATTGAAAAACACAGTGAAAGCCTGCAAGAAACAAACAATCTTATCTACGATGTACAATAATAAGCTAAAAGCTACATGGCACAATGTACTTATTAATTACCCTAACAAAGAGTACCAATAACAAGCAAAAAAAGTACAATATTTGTTTCATGCGAAAGATTTTCAAAGTTAATTAGGATTAACGAAATTAATTAAGCGTCCCTGACCCCATCGATGTCCGGCAAGTCCTGCTGCTCCCGCGGCACCGACTCGGGCCGAGCGGCAGCGAGCACCACAAGTACACTCAAGGCAATCTGTGAGAGAAAGCGACCAAAGTTACACAAACTAATGTTTCGAATGAAATATATGCGACCTAAATCATAGAAATCAAGTTAATATCAGAAGCCAGTTATTTTGTAGAGGTGGAGCTAAAGAAAACATAAACTAAGAAACTATGACTATTAGAAATACGTCACATGTTGTGATTGTGAAGATCATTCAGCATAATGACTTTAATTAAGGTAACGTCGAAGCGAGGACTTATATCCTAATGTATAAAAGAGAGGAGATAATTTAAAATTTTCTCTAGAAAATTATTTGAAATCATCATTATATTGAGGACTACAAAGGATATTGGAAATGCCTACGCAATAGCAGAGGAACAACACCTTGAGTCTTACCAAGGAACGCATGACGACGACACTAGCAACGAATGCAGTGGGCTGGTGCAGGTCTTTATAGCTGAAAGTAACAACCTTCACCTGATGTTATTTTTTTTTGCAGAGGTGTCGCAGATGCCGGCCTGCTTGAGCCAAGGCTGCGAACAATACAATGAAACATTAAATAAATGACCGGGACAATAAGGTATTTCTTCAGTGTTTACGCTATCGGATTTGAGTCCCAGTTTAAGAGAGTACCAGTTTAAGAGAGTACCAGTTTAAGAGAGTACCAGTTTAAGAGAGTACCAGTTTAAGAGAGTACCAGTTTAAGAGAGAACCAGTTTAAGAGAGTATCAGTTTAAGAGAGTACCAGTTTAAGAGAGTACCAGTTCAAGAGACTACCAGTTTACATTAGAACAAAAGAGGCTATCATTTAGAAGATGACTAACAGGGATAATCATTTCCGCACTTTTACGATGAGAGATATCTTTTTTTCAATTATTTAGAATCAAGGAATGATGTATCTGTGAAGCAAAGGGAGAACCAAAAAAAAATGATATAGTGCGATAAAGAAATATTAAATATGCCACGGGCTAAAATTACATAATATTTTTACCTTCATTCGGAATTTTTTAGAATCTTTAGTCCCTTATAGAATTTCATTATGAGCAACATTACTAAAAATAGTTTTCATCGATTGCCTTCCACTGGTGTACTCGTATTTTAAACTGACAAGAACTGGCAAAAAATTACTGGTGGGCTTATCTGGTAACGATTTGGTTCGATTGAGCCTTGCCAAAATTTAAACCATACTTATATGATTCAATTTGAACCGCAAAATAGCGATTTAGAATCACCCGTACATGAAAATTTAAATTAAAGGCAAAATTTCGAATTATCAACCATAAAAAGACGTTTCAAAAAGCGAGTCATTCATACTCCGGAGAACGGCAAATCAAAATTATTTAGCATCAAAGTTAGAAGCGAAAATAATGCAGGAATATTTTGACGTATCTCTTACCAAGTTTAACACGTATACTCTGAAGTGGTACATTTGCGTACCACGAATTGTTTTTCTCCAGGACGTAGTGAGACATAAAAATTCATAATAGTACAAACATTGAAATAATAGTAAAGATGAAGCAATCGGAGTCAACGTGTCAAATTTTTCGGACGACCCAGGAAATTTAACTACTCATTACATTCTCTTGAAAAGAATCCAAAAATATCTAAAAAGAAAAAAAATTCAAATCAATACTTCTCTAAAATTTTGTCTATACTTTTTATTATTCACATTGACTTCTATGAAAGAACAAAATTAGATTATACTTGGTCAATAGGCTAATAGATTTATTATAATATTGAAATTTGATTAATTTCTTTCATACCCCATAGAGCTTTATGCATGGTTCTCTTTCTTTATTAAAATCAGATTAGGATATGAACCTGCGATTCGCGATATTTTAAACAAATTATAGTTATTGACATATTATCGCACATCGGTACAAGCTAGGCAGCATATCCGTCAGGTCTGGATTAGCTTACGCCATGCAAGCTTATATTCCTGGGGCCTATACTTTCAAAACTCTCTAAAGGAACGTAAGTACTTACGCTCTATTTTCTTGTCTGTGATTGGTGGATTTTGCTTGAAAGGCAGTCAATGATTGGCTGATGAACTTACGATCTCATAACTTTTTTGAAAGTATGTGCGCAAGACTGGATTAGCTTACGCCATGCAAGCTTGCATCTGCTGTATTACTGGCGCCACGGCCTTTGCGCTAGCAGAGGATCCAACGTGTGCTCCTAGGCGCAGTATTCAAGTGTGGCGAGAACAAGAGCTCTCCGTTGGTCACAAGCTTCATGTCTAGAAAAAAATTAGCGATTAAATAAATGGAAAGCCGTCGAAAGCGTGTATGTAGTAGTCCCGGCATGCGTGTAGTGCTCCCGGCGTGTATGCAATACTTACGACGTGTATGTAGTACTTACGACGTGTATGTAGTACTTACGGCGTGTATGTAGTACTTACGACGTGCATGTAGTACTCCTGGCGTGTATATAATACTTACGGTTTGTATGTAGTACTTACGACATGCATGTAGTACTCCTGGCGTGTATATAATACTTACGGTTTGTATGTAGTACTTACGGCATGCGTGTAGTACTCCTGGCGTGTATATAATACTTACGGCGTGTATGTAATACTTACGACGTGTATGTAGTACTTACGGCATGTATGCAGCAAGGAAAATGCGTGTATGTAGCACTTACGGTCAAAAGTGTACATCGGCAATATGGTAAAAGTACGAATTCAATCTCGTACCGATGCAGAAATAGTGTGCATATAAACTAAGAATTATTTATCCTAGCTGGCATTGATATAAATCTCTAAAATGTGATCTCAGGAGTAATCAGGGCTGCGCGAACAAAGACCCTGAAATAAAGACCCTACTCGTGTCATGCATGATTCCTGACAACTAATCTTCGTGCTCGCTTCCAATATAATTCGGTTGAGTTAATACTGCGAATTAGTTTGTTGTAAATGGGTTTTGTTCATTCAGTTTTGAAGATGTTAGCTCTATTGATCCAGAAACAAGACTTTCTGTTATGTGTCTCCGAGACCCTGACCTGCTATGGTCGCAGCGCCCTTTGCAGAAAGTGCGTACCTGGAAGCTTCCAGTTAGTCTACAAGTTGGCGACTATGTTATGGCTAATAATGCAGAGATAGTTTATGCTGCAAAATGGCAGCGGGGCTGTGCATCCTAAGTGTATGAATTTCTACCCGACAAAAAAATGCAATCAGTGCTTTGTTCTCCATGTTATACGCGGTAGCAGCGCATAGCTCGAAGCACAAAGTTATTAAGGAATTATTTCACATTGTGAACAATTTTTATGTTAATTTAAATTCATCTGTTTTAATTGGAGCAACTTTTTCCACGTCACGGGGAAATATCAGATTAATGTTTCTGGTTGGCGTTGATTTGAAAAGTCAGATGGCAGGATATCTCACTAACCAAACGTGTGCAAGACGACGAAAGTCTACGTTCTTTTCATCCAGCATTCCAATCCTTTATAAATTACAAAATTTTTCAAACACTATTTTTTATTGTTAAAAAATCTCTATCCCTGAATGACTCCTCTCATTTTTAGTGCAAACTTACCCTAATAATAAATCTTATTTTATTTTATTTTGATTTAATTTCGATTTGATTTGAAGTCTGAATGAATTTCAAAATACTGCTATTATGGATAGAAATAGTGATTCGACCATGCGAATAGCTTGCAAGGGAGGATTGAAATCAAAATATCTTAAACTTAGGTTTGCTTAGCTCAGAATAACCTGAAAATAAATACAGGTCAAAAACAGGTCAAAAACCTGAAAAATAAATACAGGTTGGTTGTTTTTAAAATAATTATTGTACGAGGTGCTTCAAAATGTTAACGAAGTAAATGTACCACATGCAGGACGTTATAGTTGCATCGTTTTAGAATGAACTTAAAAATTATTTTTTAATGTCAAACGCTCCTATTTATAATTATACTATAAATAATACGCTTCTATGTAACTTTTCTAAATGCACTCTTAAATCACATATTCCATTTCAGTTTCACCGAACTATTCATTCTCATGCATAAATTACGAGCAGCATCGCCATCTTAATAATAAATAGAATGTGATCTAAATTAATCATCTAATTTATAAGCTCATGTAATTTATTTGCGATTTTTTAGCGAAGCTTTGCTTTTCTTCTCCCGACTGTGGCTGCAGTATCTATTTTTTATCATATTTCATTCTAAATAATACCTTCTGAAGTTTAATTCTCAGTAACATTTAACAATTACAGTAAAATTTTAAATACAGCAATCTGTTAGACATGGATATCAGAAATGCCCGTGACATTAGAAAGATCGGGTTCCAAAGGCCGCATCCCTTGTGAATCAAGTCACGAAAAATTCAAGAATCAGCAACAGGCCATGGGCCTATTTCTTCAACGCCGACACTTCTATTCTATATTATTATAGGTTAGGGAACTTCTGAGTTCATTAAATTGTTATCTGCACGAAGGTGAGTTTTTGCTTAATATGCGTGTTAAAAATATTAGAATCATCTATAAAAAATACATTGTAATTTCACTCCTAATGAATATTATTTTCATTGTATTTTTAGCTGCAGGTGCATTTTAGCTGCTTTTTCAGCTGTTTTTTTAGCTGCAATTAGATGCGTTGTTAAAAATACCAACTGAAAAATATATATACATAAATACTTGGATGCGTTTTTACTAGCTTTATGTGTTAACAATATTAACTGAAAAATATATAAATACTTAAGTACGTTTTTGGCTGATTTACGTGTTATATAACAACCATGTACGAGTGCGCAGAGCTTGATCCTGCAGCAGTCTTGACCTAAGACGAGAGAGGACATTTTTTCGACTTAGCGCTATCAGTATTAACTGCTATCTGGCTTCTGTACTTGAAAAACTTAAAATTGACGATGTTGGCCAAGTACTGCGGTAAAAAAACATGCGATTTTAGGCGTGAAATTATTACACGTGAGAACCAATCATTGCAGTTTAAAGAAATGTCCACCAATCAGCGGCACCTCTGGTGGTACCAGCCAATCAGAGTTACGATTCAGGACAACTTCCAATCTCCTGCAAATAAAGATTCTGAACAGCGGCCAATGAAAATTATTCATTTAATTCGTTTAAGCAAGAGATTAAGTACAAGGCCGTCTACAGCTGCAGTCACCCCTGCCCTACTGGTGCACCATTGAAGCAAGGAAGAGAGCAGGTTTTTACAATATATTTGATTGGTTGATTGACTTTTCGGGGCCACCAATCAAATGACAAGAAGATTGTATTGTTTGGTTAGGTTTGAAAAAAATTTTCATTGCTATTATACCGATTGAAAGCATTTGCAGAATTTCATTTGATATTGTATTCATAGTAATGCTACAGTGTATATTGCCATGCTGCTACAGTGTACATTGGCATGTTGCTACAGTGTACATTGCCATGCTGCTACAGTGTACATTGTCATGCTGCTACAGTGTACATTGTCATGCTGCTACAGTGTACATTGGCATGTTGCTACAGTGTACA